AATGTTATTGAGAGTGGGCAGGCCTAGGTGCGGGAAATATTGATGAGTGTGACCAATTACTTTTTCACCCCGCGTGTTCGACCTGAGCAGCAGTTTGCAGGAGAAAAAGCAAACATCCGACTCGGTCCTGCGGACACGGAGTTCAGCTGAAGGTGCGGAGCCCAAAGTGAACCGGTACAGAAACCGCCTTGGCGGCGTTAGCCAGGTTGGATACATCGATCAGCCGCAGCAGCGCGAAAATATTCGCACTTTGATGGTAGTGTTGGGCACGAATGCCGAATGTCGAGCGAAAGGAATCCTTCACGGGCGAAGTCTGTTGCAACTATAGCAAAAGAACGATTACGCTTTCAGACATCCTGTATTTTCATAAAAACGCACAAGATCGAAGGACTCTTGTCACCCAGGAAGAGCCTCGGGGAAAAAAAACAAAAAAAAAAAAAAAAAAAAAAAGCAGTTTTCTGCAGGTTTGCCTGCAAAAGGTCCAAATGCGAAGAACCAGCGCTTCCCTGAACATTCGGTCATTGCATCCAGTGCGGCGTCCTCCCTTCTCCTTCCATGACTTGTAGGAGACACACGAAGGACAGCAACGGGCTCCGTTGGCACCGCTAGATCTCCACAAAAAGGAGAAACGGAATAAGAACAAACCCCTCCTAGCGCTCAGCAAAAGTGAACGCGACACTGCACTCGCTTGAGACAACAGGATCACCGCGGGAGTTTGGTCGACGCTACTACTTAAACCCCCCCCCCCCCCCCAATCCACCAAACCCCCGGCCCGATATGCTCCGCCAGGCGGCTGCGTATCGGGCGCCGCTGGGGTCAGTGACAATAGCCAGCGGTGGCAGAGCCGGCTACGAAGCCTGGTTTTAGTACAGAGTGATACTCGGTGAAGAAACGGTGAGATTGGCAGCCACATGCCCGAGGAACTGAGGTTGCAGCTGTTACCCATGAGGAGAGAGTTGATCAGGCGGAAAAACGCTGTCAATCGTCCCGGGTTCCAAAAGATTTCCGCAAGGAGGCTTTCGGTGGATCTAGGCAAAGAAAATGACAACCGGAATGGACTATTGGCTTTCTAAGCCGGCCTGGAATCATTTTTTTTTTCCAAAGGACGCGCCTTTGCAGTATTGCACTTACAGTACGGCAATGCAATCGCCGGAGGTTTCGATAATGATTCTCGAGGCGATTGGCGATCAGCCATCGTTGTACTGGTGCAATGAACTTCTGGGGACGAGGACACCGCAAACTTCGACTTGCCGGGGCAACGAGTTGTCCTCCGTACCCCGTCCGAAATGCGGCTCTCCACCGCACAACCATTCTTGGTCACTTATATCGTGCAGCGCGTGCCAGTGTGCGACGGTTATCGAGACGTCAAACGAACACACTGGCAATAGCCGGAAGTTTTATACTCGAGGATGTCACGGCGAATGGCATTTCCCTTGGGTTTTACCTCCGTTCGACAGGGAAGTTTCGAGTACTTCTCGAGACAGAGTGGCCGGCTTTTTGCATCAACCCAAACGGTCCAGCCTGCTGTCGGGCTGCCAGGGCTTTGAGTGACCTCCGGTGAAGACCGGCCATGCGAGTGGCGGGGTTCAATCGGCGCCGATCAACTTACCAGCTATAGTAAACTCCTATCTAGTGATTACCTCCTAGTCGTCATTTTCCACGGCGAACATCTTCGTGTACTTTTCATTTCATAGCAGTAGCTGATATCATGGTGGTCGTATTTGTCGTCATTGCGGTCTCCGTCGCGGGCCGCAGCCCAAACAGCCAGCCGGGCTTTTTGATCAGCCCACATCCGCCCAACGCGGCTGGCTGGCTGTTGAGAACACTGTATTCCTCTGCATGATGCATATGCATTCTAAATGTTACACGGCATATGGCTTGGTGTGGAGCCAGAATTTCTTGGGGGCGGAGATTTTTGTTTGGCTGCGTGTGGACGTGGAACCCTGCGACTGTGTGGTAAGGGAAGGTGATTGTCGTGTGATGATCTCTTAAGGGTGCAACTGTAGGGCGAGGGTTTCTTGGGCGGGGATTTCCATTGGGGAGGGAGCGGGGATTTCTAAAGGCGGAGGTTTCTAAAGGCGGAGGTTTCTTGGTCCGCGGATTTCGTGGGCTGGGGATTTCCTGAGCTGGGCACTCTTACTGGAATGTGGTACGGCAGATGATTATCAGTGGAGTGTTTTTTTGGAAAAAAAAAAAAAAAGAAAAAAAAAATAGCAGATATATTCAGTTAATGGTTTCAGCTGGGAGGAACGAATTGTCTCGTGATGGATGTGATCTATAGAGCAGTTGATGTGGCGTTTTCCCAGTGGCGTTTACCGGTGGCGGTGCAGGCTCAACCCTAAGCGAAGCCGTGGAGCGACTGCACAGCTCTACTATTCTGGAGCGAAGCCGTGGAGGAGCTTCAGCGACGACACTGCGGAGCGACTACGCTGCTATACATACTGCTGGATTTGTAGATAGTTGTGGAATGGAATAGAATTGTCTTTATCCGTGCGAGTGCTGGCTATGAAGTGAGACGGTCTTGCCTCCTCGAACCCAACCCACTACCTCCTCTCTTTACTTTACTACTTCAACCTACTACCTCCTCCCTTTACTACTTCGCAGATACCTTCTGCCTTGCAACGACCTTTTCCCTCGCAACCAATTGAAGAGTTCTCCTTCTGTAAACCGGGAAAGCGCTATAACATGTGTCATGGTTGCAGAGCACGTGTTGCTCGAAGAACAGCAAATGCAGCTCAACATGAGCCGGTCTTATACGGGGTAGAATATAAAGGCCAATGGTGTTCTTTAGATGGAGGTTGAACGACAGCCCAGTCAACAACGGAGAGTTGGAACACTACAACGTGTGGGAGCAGATAATCAGCCACTGTTTAAAGAACATGATGTGAGAGATGTCACGGATGATGCATTGGCTATGGATCAACAGTGGGAGCATACTGCACCCCCTCCGAGTCAGTCTGTGGATGAAACTGCGCACTGCAGAAACTGCGGTCGCCGTTACAGAGTTTTCTTTCGGGAAACCTGGAGTATCAACATTCGAGAGGAGGTGTTTACTCATTGGCAGTTATACGTTGCTCTGTCCTGTGCAAACCAGTGGAGACCGAATAACTGTCCGAACGCCAGAGACAGTATCAGGGTGCGATGGATTGTGCAGGAATGTGGTATTCAGGGAGGTATTTGAGAATTGATGGGGCGTTTTTTGCTGAATGGGATGAGTTGGGATGTTCGCAATTTTTTTTGCGCGATGGCGGAGTCTTCATTTAATCTGGCTTTTTTTTTTTTCACAGAATGACAGCAACTGCGCTGTGTCTCACACACGTACGCCCGTACATATGACTTTACATTAAGTGGCGCTGTAAAAATGACTGCACACCGTGTGGTCACCACACGGGTGTTCACTCGTCTTTGAACATGGCCAAGAAAAAAATTGGGAAACGTATATATGGCGTTATACTAAGAAGTGCTAATGATTTCACGGCCGAAGGCTGCCAGAATCTTGTAATGTAGTCTAGATGTGACCTTCAGAGGTCGATGCTGTTGTTTCATGGTACTCAAAATGGTTTAGAGTGTGCTTTTATCCCAACTTTCATATCCGGGGGTGTGGTTTAGTGGTATAATTCCTCTTTAGCACTGGTCACCCGACCACGCATAGAGGCGGTCCGGCGTTCGATTCGCCGCTCCTCCATTCGTTTTGTTTTTAGCCAAAGAAGGTGAATCCCATTCTGCATTTTTGTCAGAACACGCTGTTTGACCGTGCTGTGGGGTTTGAGGAGAAAAAGGATGGGATTGGCCACCGGTATTCCAGTAGCTCCGATGAAAAGGTTCCGTCCTGACATCCGCAAGCCTTGGATTCATGATCACGATGGCTCCGTCAATGTATCCGATACGCTGCCGGTGTTACTGTTTTCTTCGGAGTCGCGGAGAGTCGGGCTGAAAGCACCGATCCGGTCTGCTCGCTCTTACACAAACAACGACAACATGGCATACCCGGCCCAGGCCAATGGCTTCTCCCACGCATCGCCCACGCCGAAGCGCGGCTCTCAGCCCAAGGATGGCGGGTGGAGTACCGATGGGTACCCGGACACAAAGACGTCACAGGCAACGAGCTGGCGGACCAGCTCGCCAAGAAGGCGGCGACCCTCCATAGCCCACCGACAACGAGCGACATAATCGCAACTGCCTCGCTAGCCAACATCAGTCGAGACATAACTCTTGCCAAGCGAGCAGACCGAGACGTATGGCTCCGCAAACACTGCAAGCCTAAGACATACTACCGCAGGCCTCAAAAGCCTAACCACGGCCCCGAAGGCTATCGCTTCGCGGTTCTATCAACTGAGGCTGAACAAGGCACCGACCGCCGCCCCCTACCTCCTACGGACGGGACGAAAGACAAATGCTGGTGGTGCAGCTCCAGCTCCATCCAGAACCGAGACCATCTTTTCAAATTCTGCAAGAGGTGGAAGAAGGAGCAGAGAGTCCTCTGGAAGGCAGTGAAGGAGGCGACGAAGGACGGTGGGCAAAAGCGATGGCCAACAGCGAAGACTACCGCGCTGCTGGCCGACGATAGGTGCACGGAAGCGGTGTTGGATTTCCTAGGCTCCGATATGGCCCAGCGGGGCCGCATGATGTATTGAAAGGGTCTCTCCTTTGTCCTTCCCCTAAGTGCTCTCCTCTTGTTACGAATCTCCTTGGTGCGACTCACACCCTCGGTGTGATTTCCTTGTCTTTATTTCCTTAGAAGGGCCGCAGGCACCAACAGTAGGCTCCGACCCAAGGTGTAGCATAGTCTCTTCTCTTCTATATACCGTATTATCCCGGTAATAACGAAATTTCACAGACCCCGAAGTATACTGACACGTACCGTTCAGCGGGCAGTGAAGCTGTGTGAGAGGCGGTCGGAAGCGACGTGCTTGGACAGTGACAAAACGGGAAAAAATAACGGACCGTGACGCCGCGCCGCAGTATGGCATGGCCACTGTAGAGTATTTGAGCACGTTTACAGTATTGCGACCAGTTTATTCCGGAGTCTTTTCGCGCTGCTTTGCTCGCTACAGTAACGGCTCTACACCGAGTGAGCTGGCATGAGCAACCCTACCTAGTTTATCCGAGCTGCGCGTGCAGGCCCAGAAACGTGGAAAACGCTGCCGGATAGTCTTTGCCTCCATCGTGCCTCTTGTCGCATGCATGTGAACCGGCCCAATGAAAATCCGCGGATGTCGGAGTCCCTGACGTCGCGACCCCGTACATCGTGGGGCTCCGGTTTCCGATCACATATCGGGTGGCCGCTGCTTGTCGGCCTCCACGGCGTGCTTGCCTCCTGCATTTCCAGTGGTCTTTTGTCAAGTTGGCTTGAAGTCCCTACTTACGTGTCTAGAAGCTCGGGCTGTGCCGAGTGCTGCAGAACGATATGATATGCTCACCTTTCGTCGCGATTGAAGACTCGAGATTTTCCGAGAGACGTTTCTCGACCTCGGCGGGGGAACTGTCTGCAGCCTCGGGAAGGTGACAGCTGCTTGTATTTCTTCCGGCAGCGGGCAGCTCCAGAACACACGTGCACACCACCCCACAGATTCTGAACGCAACGCGGGGTACACCGTACACGACCAGGTTTTGCGGTTCTGTCAGCGCACATTCATCAACATATATATCTTGCCATGCCAGGCCATGCGCGCCGACAATTGAGGCATATTCCGTTCGGCTGGGTGATTGATTCTTACTATCATACCGCGATTGCAATCAGGCTATGTATGGAGATGGTGCTAGCGATGGCTGATTTGCATGTGCAACGCACGGGGGGCATCTACATAGTATCCCCAGCCGCTCCAGCCTTGCCTTGCAATATAAGTTACATAACCCACAGCTGCCACGTCCAGTACCCCGCTTCGCCTGGAACCCCGCTGCTTGCATACTCTATATCGAGCCACGTTTCTCGGAACCTGGGGCGCTGCAGCAGCCGGCCGGAAAAATTGCGCAGGGTCCGCCCCCCCCCCCCCACCCCCGTGCCGCATCGGTGACATGTATGCTCGCGAACAACCTTATCCCAAGGCGCCAGTTTGCTCCACATGTCGCCACGAGACACTTGTGGAGGCGATTCGGCTTGCAAGAGTAATCGAGCACGTCGATACAGGCTCCCTGGTTTGTTGTGCGGGGCAAGTAATAGAGCCTGCCGAGCTCATCTGGCTGCAGCTTTGCGGCACAAAAGCTGCCCGGAGTGCGGACCGTCGATGCTGCACCATCTAGATGTGCGTCATTGAAGGTCACTCGCCGCTCTGGCGCTCTCTGCTAGGGAGCACAGGATCGAGGGTGTGGAATCTTCCTTTCAACGCCCTTGCATTGCGCGGAAACGGGCCGAATAACGTGTGCCCTAAAAAACGCTGCACATGTCTGCATGCCTGGTTCCTGACTATCAAGCCATGGCCATGAAGAAATCGGCAGGTCAGCCAACTTGCTTAGCTGCAGTCATGCCACAGCTCGCTGTCACTGGCCGCAGAAATCGAATCGCCAGGTTGATCCTTGGACCAATCTGCAGCTCAGGTCGAAAAACCGGAACAATCCGGACCAATCATCGACAGGCTGGGAATTTTTTGTATAAGACGGTGCTAGTGGATGCTCCAAGTGAAGAAAGAAACCAGCGCTCTAGATCCCCCAGTCAAGATGCAGTCTCTTCGCCACCTCGCCCTCTTTTTATTCTCGTTCATTCTTTTGGTTACTGCCTCGCCGGTCCACCAGAACCAGAAACGGTCTACCCAGGTGTCGTTGATCAGCTGTACTTTTTCCAACAATGTTCTGGCCGGCTCGATCAAAGTGTGGGCTCCTGGAGCCGCTCTGGGACACCCTTGCTGACATGATGGTATTGCAGGTCCAAAATATCGCGCACCAGAAAACCGTCACGGTTAGTTATGCAGTCGGGAGCAGCTGGAGCAACAGCCAGGTACTCAGCGCGTCCTACTCGACCGGGCCCGACAGCTCCGGCTACGAAACGTGGACCTTCAGCGGCACCGCCACGGGGGCAACGCAGTTCTATATCTCGTACACGGTATCGGGAAGTACCTACTATGACCCAGGGAACAGCACCAACTATACCATTGGTTCGAGCACGACCACAACCGCCGCCGCCTCCTCCGCCTCCACAGCTACCACCACCACCACCTCAACAGCTACTACTACTACCACCTCGGCAGCCGGCGGCACCTCCGTGGTCACCAGCACCCTCCCCGCAATCCTCCCCACCAGCTACCCCTCCGAAGCCCCCGCGACCGCCCCGACAGGCTGCGACAACTGGAACGGGCTCGACAGCTGCAGCACCAGCGGGGTGTACTCCATCCCCGCAAGCGCCGAGAACCGGCGGTGGCAGACGCCGCCGAAAGGGGAGCAGTGGTACTTCGACAGCTTCCAGGACTACAGCGACCTGGTCGGGTACGCCGACATCCAGTACAGTGCGGCGCGGACGAGCGCGGTGGTCACGGTGAACGCGGCGTCCAAGGCCGGCGAGGCGCTGAGCTACACCTTTGGCGGCGTCACGCAGTCGTCGAACCAGTACGCCGTCAGCAGCTCGCTCGCCGACACGCTGGCCATCACCGTCACCAGCGCCAGCGGGAAAAGACTCGTGCTCGAGCCGCTGAACTTTATCTGGCAGAACCAGGACCTGAGTGCAGCGCAGAGCAGCTTCAGCGGCGGGCAGAAGGGGGGGATCGTCGAGCTTTTTGGTTGGCCGTATAACGATATCGCGAACGAATGTGCCTTCCTGGGAAAAGCCGGCATGTTTGTTTCTTCGGAGTTAGCCCTTTCTATATACTGGCTGGACGCTGACGATCCCGACAGGCTACATGGGCGTGAAGGTTTGGCCGCCGCAAGAACACGTCTGGGGCTCGAACTACTACGAGACCGACAACATGTTCCGCCCCTGGTACCTGATCTACCAGCCGGTCAGCTACAAGCTTGTCGGCCGGGCCGGCACACGCGAAGAGCTCCGGGCGATGATCAAGGCGTGCCGCAGCGTGGGAGTGCGGGTCTACGCCGACGCCGTTCCCAACCACATGTCAGGCAATGGAAACGGTGGGTGCTTCTCGCTTTCCCAGCCCAAAATCAGCCGCTAACTGAGGGACCGCAGACGTCCAGAACCATCGCAACGATGCCGGCTCGTGCTCCTACTGGTCCGGCCACAACGCCACCGCAAACTCGCCGTACTACACCCACGGCTACACGTACCTGATAAACCCCTACACCGGCACCCGCCCGGCACTAGAGTACCCCGCCGTCCCCTACGGCCCGCTCGATTTCCACTGCGAAGCGCCAATCAGCAGCTGGACGGACGGCGAGGTGATCACCAAAGGCTGGCTGGTGGGGCTGGCAGACCTAAACACCGAGACGGACTACGTGCAGGACCGGATCGCGACCTACTTTGTAGACCTCCTCTCGATCGGCTTCTCGGGTTTCCGCGTGGATTCGGCCAAGCACATCGGGCCGACGTCGCTGGCGCAGATTTTCGGGCGCATGCAGAAAAAGCTGGGCGGCAGCCTCCCGGGCGACTTTGTCACCTGGCTGGAGATCCTGATGGGCGGCGAGAAGGAGCTGTTGGCGTGCAGCGGCGGCGAGTGGAGCTGGTATACAAACTTCAATACGCAGCTGTCTGCGGCCGGCATCAGCGACAGCGACATCAACAAGATCAAGATCTGGAGTTCAGGT